CTATGGCTTACAAACAGTAAACACCTTTTCAGCTAGTGGCCTGAGGACCATCAGGAACAGATGCAAGCCTGACTTGGCAACCAGGCAGCAACCTGATCAAAACAACAGTTTTTAGAAAAAGTATTTGTTTCCAGTTTAGCCAATCCACCTTGTCAGATCTTCACATAAAAGCCAAATTCCCTGGTTATCAGTGTGCCATTACTGGAGGCAATGGTAATCGCAGCTTAAAAAGTCTGGACTGGCACTATAAAATCTTTTCCTTTGGAAGAGCTGTGTGGCACTAGAAGAGGTTACCGGAGAGGATGGGGAACCTCTGTTCAGTACTTGGATGAAAAGGAGCCACAGATAACCAGCTCTTATGTTGCCAAGAATTCTGTATTGAGCAGAAAGTTTTACAAGACCTTCCAGAGACCCTTCAAGCCAACATTTCTGAGTCAGTTAACCCTTTCATTCTGCCAAGGGCAACCTCTGCAGAGGCAGCACTGCCTGCAGCACATGCTCTATCCCGAGTACTGCCAATGCCAGACCTCATCTGCAAGCTCATCACTGGCAGCAACCTTCTAGTCAAGAATGCTGCAGTCAACATACTGCTACCAAAGTCCAAGCTTAACATCCAGCACATCCATGCTATAAAAAAAAAAAAAAGTACTTTTCAGCACTTGTTTGCGTTATGATAAATTGGCAGAACTGGCTTCCCAAGCAAACTTACAAAATAAACATCTAACTACTCACATACAGTGTCTACATTCTCTAACTACTCCATTTTAAAAGCACAAAAGCACTGCATCTTATCTGAAACAAATACCTAGGAAACTACTATGACAGCTTCCTAACAGCTATTAAAGTGAGAAGGGAGAAACCAAGTTAAGTGCTCACTTGAAAAAAATAATTTATTACTGAATAACCAAGAGTATGAGAAGTTTCATGTATTTGGCACGATAACTCTGATGTTGCATTCTTATTCCTACATATATTTCACATTTCATCTTAAATAAAAATGTTTAGTCATAGAAACATAGCATAGAATATTAGAATGGTCTGGGTTGGAAAGGACCTTAAAACCACCTAGTTCCAGCCCCCCTGCCATGGGTAAGGACACCTCACACTACACCATGTCACCCAAGGCTCTGTCCAACCTGGCCTTAATCACTGCCAGGGATTAAGCATTTACTGCTCCTTTGGGCAACCTATGCCAGTGCCTCACCACCCTCACAGTAAAGAACTTCCTTCTTATATCTAACCTGAACTTCCTCTTTTTCAGTTTAAACCCATCACCCTTTGTCCTATCACTACAGTCCCTGATGAAGAACCTCTCTCTGGCATCCTTGTAGGCCCCCTTCAAATACTGGAAGGTTGTAGAGGACTCAGTAGAGGCTGAGGTCTCCACACAGCTTCTCTTCTCCAGGCTAAACAGCCCAAATTTTCTCAGCCTATCCTTATTACGAGAGGTACTCCAGCCCCGGATCATCCTCATGGCTTCCTCTGGACTTCCTCCAACAGCTCCATGTCCTTCTTATGCTGAGGACACCAGAACTGCAGCAAGTACTCGAAGTGGGGTCTCACAAGAGCAGAGTAGTGGGGCAGGATCACCTCCTTCAACCTGCTGGGAAAAGAGAGACCATTTTCCACAAAACAAACCAAATTAATGTTAACTAAATCTGCATTCTCAATTGGTTCATGGTCAGATGTAGCCAAGAGGAGATGTACAACTGCATTCAGATGAGTAGATTCCCCCTCCAAGCACTGCATGTTGCAAAAAGTACATCCCAGTATGCTGCCGAGTTTGTCAGCTGCAGTGGGCCCCTCAGCTGTACTTCCCGCCTCATCTCAAAGCTGCACATCTACATGCCATTTAAATTATTCTAATGTTTAGAGCAATATTCTGGCCAGGAGTCCTGTTCCTAAGATAGGTTTCATTCAGAGAGAGATGTGCTTCTTTGTTCCCATTAATAGCATATGCTAGAAAATACACAACTTTGCTCTGAAGCAGGAAGCTTCTCATTTTAAATGTGAAACTGGGAGGACAACAATGATGTCCTGAGAAGTAACAATATGCGAGTACCTGCCATGGGCTTTTTAATTGTAGTACCTCACTTCTGTTGAAAGTTTTTACAATTCCTTTTTCTAATCCTTTATTTTATGAATTGGTGCTCTTACCATTATATTATAAAGCCTTATTCATTTGACTTATATCAAGTAACTTACAAAGGAGGTGGAGGGAGGCTCAGAGCCAAATCAAATTTACTGTATGTAACTGCGTATGAATAAAACACTTCAACTGAAACCCTGAATGTCATATTTTAATGTTTGAAGTTTGTAGGACAGCTACACACTCAATTCTTATGTGTAAGAAGTATATAAAATAACTTCTTAGAGACTGGTGTTGATGCATGCATGGAAAAATTTCTATAACGAAATAGAGTCTTAATTTAATTAACTCAGTCCTCCACCTTTTATGTTCACACTATTGTGTTCAGCTCTGGGTACCTCACTACAAGAAAGACATTTTGGTGCCAGAGAAGGTCCAGAGAAGGGCAATGGAGCTGAGAATGGGTCTGAAGCACAAGTCTGATGGGGGGGAATGGCTGAGGGAACTAGGAGGGTTTAGTCTGGAGAAGAAAAGGCTCATGGTGGACCTTATCGCACTCCATAATTACCTGAAAGGTGGTTGTCATGAGGTGGGGGTCAGTCTCTTCTTCCAAGTAACAAGCAACAGGACAAGAAAAAACGGCCACAAGCTGCACCAGGGGAGGTTTAGGCTGGGTATTAGGAAAAATTTCTTCCCCAAGAGCATGATCAGGCATTGGAATAGGCTGCCCATGGCAGCCGTGAAGTCACCATCCCTGAAGTGTTCACAGACTGTGTAGATGAGGCCCCCAGTGATGTGGTTTAGTGATGGCCCTAGCAGTGCTGGGGCAAAAGCTGGACTTTGATGACCTTTTCCAATCTAGTTGATTCTATGATTCTATTACTCTACCAGCTCCTCTTAAATACACAGAGGGAACCTTCATAATTTTCTGTTTCTTTTTTTAAAAAGGAAATTGTTTCACCAGAGCATAATGGCTCATTTTCAATTCAGTTCAGAATCTGACCCAAGACTGCCCATTAACTCTCCCTTTAGCAATTAATATGATTTTCACTTACTACTAATGTCACTTATTTTCCATGAAGCTAAACCATCAATTCAGAGGAGTAAACAACAGCACAGAGCAAGGAAGAATGCTATACCTACTCCCTTATACAAATTATGTTCATGACAATTGTGCTACTTCAGCTAACTGCCTTTCACAACCCTGAACTTTATAATTTAGAAATTACCTACATTGTCTTCCAACATCCTTAAATCATACGTGTTATCTACAGTTTATAAAAATGCAAAATTTGGTGGTATTTTTTCCATTTACCATCACTACTTCTCAAAAGCCCAAACTGTAGCTGCAATGACTGTCAACAAACTATAACAGCTAGTAGCCACTTGCCAAGCTGAAGTTGTCACATCAGAGTATAAAACCAACCCACTGCTCCATGACCACTTCCTTAGCAAGTCAGCTGCCCTCCACTCACAGGTAAGGAGAGGACTCTCACAAAGCCCAGGTGACACTGCCCTGCGCAGAACAACAATGTACAGATTGTCTGACACCCTCTCTTCAAGCCCTGATTAGTTGCAGAGGCTTCTCCATCCAGATCCAGCTTCAAAAAAAACCCCACTGCTTAGAGCACTCTAAGAATATAAAATAAAGTTTGCAAGAATATAAAAAATACAAGAACATAAAAATGTTTGTAAAGTACCATGACTCTCACCAACATACTTAAGACACACATGACTAAAGAAGTACATCATTTTCTTTTCTTGCTTCTTGCAAACAGCTGCTGTTTATGGCAAATATAGTGCAAAATTAAAAAACAAAATGCAAGCATTTCAGGCCAAGTACACATTTCCTCCTATTTCAACAAAAATATTTTCAGAATGGCACGAAAGCCGCCTGAAAAAGTCTAAGACTTCAGCATGAACTGATTAGTAGTTTTGGAAGAGCAGGCACTGCAGTGGTGTTCAGCCTAGACTGATGACTGAAACAAAAGAACAAAAAAAAAAGAAAGTGTGAAGTAAAGGTTAATTGTACACTATGTTGTGTTGGTGCTATAAAACTAGCTCAGCTAAAATATGTAAGTGACCTTGTGTGAGAACTGCTTGGAGAAGCAGGCAGCTTCAGATGGGAGACTCAACCAAGACAATTTTAGAATAAATATCTACAAACTGGTAAGTATGGGAATTATTCCCAAAACAAAAATACTACTTTCAAAGTGTCTGCTTTAGGGAGGGTGCCTACTATTAAAGTTACCCACTGTTGCTCACCCTGGCAATTCTGATAGGCATGCTAAACAGGTTATTTTTTAATGATTTCTTATCATTCCAGGGCTTACATACTCGCTTTAGTACTGGTAAGTCATAAAAGAGATAGATAGTCAATGGTATCCTCTAAATACCACAACCTTATTGACATATTGCTAGAGAAGTTTGTGCTTAACCATTTTACATCTTTTAAAACCCACAAGGGAGGCACGGCACTAGTTATGCCATGTCCTTCCTTCAAAAGCAAGGAAGTTTTGACCAAACCTAAGGTAATATTCACAGAAAGCACAGCACACTCCAGAGGCGTCCCAGACAAAATACAGGGAGGTCCCTCACACCAACGCCTTCAAGTTCGCACCCGGGTGATAAAACCTTTCCTAAAGACCCACAACAAAATGTGGCTGCTCGATTTAACATCACTTCGGGGCGACTGTCGGCCACAGCCCCTCATGGCGATACCAAGGGTCAGGTGGCCACGCAGACGGGGCGCGGCGCATCTCCCGGCTGAGGTAAAGCCGCAGCCGGTGATCCCACACACCGCCCCCCCTGCCGGCTCCTTGAGACCGCCAGGTAACGCGCGCGCGCCAACGGCTCCTCTTTGCCATCAACTTCCTCAAGGAGCAGAGCGGGCACCTTGTATCCCCCCCCTCCCCGGCGTCTCTCCCCGCTGCGGCACTGGAGGGCGGCCGGCCAAAGAGACCGCCTGACTGCCGCTCACCCCGCACAGGTGCCGTGCTGGTACGATGAAACCCACTACAAGGGGCCCCCCGCCAGCCCCGACCCCCCTCAGCAGCAGCCCAAGCTTACCTCAGGGGAAGGCGCTTTTTTCTGGCGTCCCTTAGCACCCAGGCAAGGACACGGACCTCCCCCTCCCGCACTCTCAGTTCACGCCGTCCCCTTGCTCAGGGACACCGCATCGCCACGTCCTCCCGCTCCCCTGCGGCTTCTTTCTGATCAGTTTACAGCTCTTCCCGCTTCCCTCCTCCTCCCTGCTATTGCTCTTCCTCCTCCCACACACACACCCCCCCTTTCTTCCAGACCCTCCGGCACGGGGTGATGCAGGGCTCCCCGGGCTTCCTCTTGCATTACGGGAGGGAGGAAAGGAGGAAGGAAAGAAAGCAGAAGGGGGAACTCAACAAAGCATCAAGGTGAAACGAGAGCCGACCTCCATCCCGCCCTGACAGGGGCCCTCCGTCCCCCGCCAGCGTCGCCACTTCAGAGCGCGGCGCCGGAGCCAGGACCCTCTGGCCCTCCTTCCTCACCGTCCTCCCGCTGCCCCCGAGGGATACTCCCCGCCTCCCTCACCGCTCTCACTTCAGCGCCGTTTCTCCGAGCCTCTGCCTTTGGTAACGAGCCGAAGACCGGAGGTAGCCTCTCGCAGGCGCTCGGAGCTCCGCTTGCCGGGCTTTTCCTTAAGTCGAGTGGACGCGAGGGGTGCGTGGCTCCGTCTGGCCCGGCCAGAGGCCCTGCTTCTGCCGAAGCCCCACCGCTGCGGCGCCGGGTCCGCCTGTCGCCTCCGCCCGGGCTCTGCTTCACCTGCTGCGGGGCTGGGCCGAGGAGGGGGCACCTTCGCTCCTTCCTCCCTCAACTTCTCATCACTTTGCCCCCGCGCCTCTCCGCTGTGCTGCCGCGCCGGCACCTGGCCGCCCGCATACACCGGCACTGCTGTCGTTCCCCCTCAGCAGCGATGCTGCCCTAAGGTCCCTCGGCTAGACGAGGAAAGGCTCCCCTAGTCCCTTCCCCCTTGTCGGCGCGGATTGTTGCCGTCCTGGTTCCCAGGTACCCTCCAGTCCCATGCACCGCCTCACCTCCCAAGACGCTGAGAAGCTGCCGTCGGGGCAGGTTCCCTGTGCCCGCCTCTGTACGCGCTCCGCCAATTAGTCCGGGCCCGGCCGCGGGAGGCTCCGCCAGAGGGGCAGGCCCTGCCTCCGAGGGAGCGGCCGTACCTAACACGACCACGGCCGCTCCCTATCGCTGGGTTTCTGCCTGGCTTCGCGAACCGTTTACCGTGCTCTACCGCAGCTGAGCACGCTGTTAACTCGTGCCTTGAAGTGAGCTCTGAAAAGCGCGGAGGATTGACGAGGGGCAAGCCGGCACCCTGGGTAAATCGTAATCACAGCTTGTCGTAACCACGAGGAGTATCTCGACAGAAGCCTGCCCTAATGTTGGTCGTATTTTTTTAATTTTCAGTTGGTTTGGTTAAAAAGAAAACATACGATAAAAGCTTCCTAAGCCTTTTCTTCCCCACATCCCTTTCATTAGACCTAAGTGCAGTTGTCTAATTAGTGCTGGGTACTTGAGCGGTACACCATCCTTTATTTTCTCCTTCTGCAGGAAACGGTGCTTGAGGAAGGCTGACTGAAAGGGATGTAATGCTCCTGTATTTCCAGACCTCTGTGATCTTGGGAAAGACCTACAGTAACCTTCTAAGCCATTCGCTGAGGAAACTTAGATACTAACGGTAATTCTTCAATTAGTTTTGTGTGTGTGGTTTGGATGTGGGGTGGGTTTGTTTTTTTTTTTGTTTTGTTTTGTTTTGTTCCCCCCCCCTTTGTTATATAATAAAAATGTAATTTCATAGCTGGCAGGTTATTAATAAAGTCATTTGAAAGAACAAGATTTGTCCCACTGTCTGCCACACACTTTTCGAAATTGAAACACTTGGGCTGCTTGTTTTAAGTTATAAATTTTCCAAGGTTAATGCTTTTTTTCATTGAACTTTAAGGAAAAAGAAGTTTTGGATAGCCTTCATGTTGCTCCTTCAATAAAAGTGAAGGTTTAGGTTTCATCAGACAAAACAAGAAAGGTAATGAAATGCATAATAAGAAAACTGAACGTAAGCTTCAAACTGATCTCCATTCTAGTAAAGATGGCTTGAAAAAATATGAAACTTTACTTTCATTCAAGCTAATCAAATTTATTTGGAATACAGAATTTCTCATGATATTCATTATAGAGCCTTTTAAAAGCTCTTCTGTTTCTTGCATATAAAACAAATCATTAAAGTTCCTCAAATCATGTGACCTGTATGAGATCTAGTTAACATTAAATGAGGTGTTAAGGTTTAATGAGTGATACTCAAATCCCATGAAGTAATAGTGGCCTCTGGCTTTGAGGTAAGTATTGAGCTTCTAAAAATGAGGTTCTGAGCTTAAATGTCCCAGAATCAAGCATACAGAGCCACTGTTGTGTTGAAAGTTTTAGTTACTTTCAGGCAAAAGAAATTTTAAACTGTAATGCCAATTGAAGACAGTACGTTGGATAAATCTGTCTCCTTTGCATATCTAAAGTACCCGCTGCTAACTGTTTTAGTAAATTCCAAATAAACCAGAGGCGTTCTTAGGTTCACAGTGGGCTTAAGTCTAATTTGAACCAAATGTAGATTTTGTTCACGTTTCTCTGAGGTATGTTGGAATCCCCTCCATATTTATGAGGATTGTTTTTGTTTCTTGGGTAGCAGCTTTAGTAAAGCTATTCTTACTGTGGAAGTAGCAGAGCTTAAAGTAGCAACTGGTGCAATGACCTGGAGAATTTTATTAAAATTACTTAGAAGACCTTGGTAAAAAATTGATTTGATAGTTTTCATGGAATGTTGTCCTGAAAAATGTCTCATGGTGAGACATTTTCATACGGTGGTAGTATTTTAAATTTAATTACTGTATACTATTTAATAGCAATGCAGGAGAGATTTTTACTTCCAGACAATTTAATTCATCCCCACGCCTTCTACCTCTCTAGTCAGCAAGTGAAAGTTACTGGATTTTATAAACCTTCTCCTTTTCTGGTTTCCTCTCTTCTGCAGGCTGGCATGGGTCAAATAATTTTATTCAAAAATTAGTGTATTCAAAGTTAGTGATTGCATTGCAGCGTGATGCAGTGATCTTTCTTTGGTGAAAATATTTCAACACAAAGTACATGGTATTGTACTGTCTTCACCTGTTATGGTTACATGCTATTGCAAATTTGTTTGTATTTCAAGCTCCGGATATTATGCATATAAATTTGTATTTAAAAATTCTGGTTTCCTTTCAAAGATGATCTTTTCTTCATTTGAGGGTAATACTGATATACATGGTATCTACTGTTACCATAGCACCTGTTCTCTGAGTGACTGACTTTTGGATTGGAAGAGAATCTTCAAACGTGAACATTGACTATAATCTCAGTTTACTATTTCCTAAACTAATCCTGTAATGATTTTCTTTTCTTTGACTAGTCCAAATAGTCCAAATAGCAACTTCAAATAGTGACAGTACTTGGATATCTCTTCAGTGGTTTCCTGGTATAGAAGACTCCAAATATACTAAATGTTGATTATCTTTCCTTCAGTGTAGATTTTAATCATAGAATCATAGAATAGTTAGGGTTGGAAAGGACATTAAGATCATCCACTTCCAACCGCCCTGCCATGGGCAGGGACACCTCACACTAAACCATGCCACCCAAGGCTCTGTCCAGCCTGGCCTTTAACTCTGCCAGGGATGGAGCATTCACAGCTTCCCTGGGCAACCTATTCCAGTGCCTCAACACCCTAACAGGGAAGAATTTCCTCCTTAGATACAATCTAAACTTCCCCTGCTTAAGTTTGAACCCATTGCCCCTTGTCCTATCACTACAGTCCCTAATGAAGAGTCCATCCCCAGCATCCCTATAGGCCCCCTTCAGATACTGGAAGGCTGCTATGGGGTCTCCACGCAGCCTTCTCTTCTCCAGGCTGAACAGCCCCAACTTTCTCAGCCTATCTTCATACGGGAGGTGCTCCAGTCCCCTGACCATCCTTGTGGCCCTCCTCTGGACTTGTTCCAACAGTTCCATGTACTTCTTATGTTGAGGACACCAGAACTGCACACAATACTCCAAGTGAGGTCTCACAAGAGCAGAGTAGAGGGGCAGGATGATCTCCTTCAACCTGCTGGTCACGCTCCTTTTGATGCAGCCCAGGATACGGTTGGCTTTCTGGGCTGCAAGCGCACACTGAAGCAAGCTCATGTTCATTTTCTCATTGACCAGCACCCCCAAGTCCTTTTCCACAGGGCTTCCCTGAATCTCTTCTTTTCCCCAACCTGTAACTGTGCCTGGGATTGCTCTGACCCAGGTGTAGGAACTTGTGCTTGTCATGGTTAAACTTCATAAGGTTGACATCAGCCCACCTCACAGGCGTGTCAAGGTCCCTCTGGATGGCATTCCTTCCCTCAAGCGTATCAACCGAACCACACAGCTTGGTGTCATCGGCAAACTTGCTGAGGGCGCACTCAATCCCACTGTCCATGTCACCAACAAACATGTTGAACAAGACCAGTCCCAACACCGATCCCTGAGGGACACCACTCATTACTGGTCTCCAACCAGACTGAGCCATTGACCACAACTCTTTGTGTGCGGCCATCAAGCCAGTTCTTTATCCACAGAGTGGTCCACCCATCAAATTGATGTCTCTCCAATTCAGAGACAAGGATGTTGTGTGGGACAGTGTCAAACACTTTGCACAAGTCCAGGTTGATGATCTCTACTGCTCTACCCCGTCCATCAGTTCTATAGCCACATCCTGGTCAGGCAGGATTTCCCCTTAGTGAAGCCATGCTTGCTGTCACCAATCACCTTGTTGTATTTCATGTGCCTTAGCATGTCTTCCAGGAGAATCTGCTCCAAGATTTTGCCAGGCACAGAGGTGAGACTGACTTGTCTGTAGTTCCCTGGGTCATCCATTTTCCCCTTCTTGAAAATGGGGGTTATATTTCCCTTTTTCCAGTCATCAGTAACTTCACTGACTGCCAATTTACCAGCTCCTTAGGACCCACAGATGGATTTCATCAGGTCCTGTGGACTTGTGTACATTCAGGTTCGAATGGTCTCAGATCAGATCCTCTCCTACAGTGGGCCTAGGATATTCATTCTCACAGTCCCTGCATCTGCCTTCCGAGGCTCGGGTGGTGTGATCAGAGCCTTTGCCAGTGAAGACCGAGGCAAAGAAGCCATTAAGAACCTCAGCCTTCTCCAAATCCAGGGTAGCCAGTTCTCCTGGTAGCTTCCAGAGGTGGCCTGCGCTGTCCCTAGTCTGTCCATCCAAGGAGGTCTCATGGCCCTCTTGCTGCACTTCCTTCTAGTTGGGATGCAACACTCCTGAGCTTGTAGCAGGTGATCCTTGAATATCAACCAACAGTCTTGGGCCTCCCTGCCCTCTAGGGCTATATCCCATGGAGCCTTACTAAGCAGATTCCTGAACAGGCCAAAGTCTGCTCTCTTGAAGTCCAGGTCAGTGAGCTTGCTGCATGCTCTTCTCACTGTCCTGAGGATCTCAAATTCGACCACCTCACAATCGCTACAACCAAGGCTGCACTGGAGCGCCCCATTTCCAACAAGCCCTTCCCTGTTGGTGAGCACACGGTCAAGCATGGCACCTCTCCTCGTCGGCTCCTCTATTACATGCAGAAGGAAATTGTCTTCCACACAATCGAGGAACCTCCTGGATTGCTTGTGCCAGGCCATACCATTGCTCCAGCAGATGTCAGGGTGCTTGAAGTCACCCGTGAGAACAAGGGCCTGCGATCATGAGGCTGTTCCTATCTGTCTGTAGAGTGCTTCATCCACAGATTCCTCTTAATCAGGTGGTCTGTAACAGATCCCCACAATAATGTCTCCCATCTCTGTTCTCCCTTTAACCCTGACCCACAAACTCTCTGTTGACTGCTCACCTGTCCCCAGATAGGGGGGGATAGTCTCCAGCCTATCCCTAACATAAACAGCAACTCCCCCTCCCCACCTGCCAGGCCTGTCTTTTCTAAAGAGCCCGTAACTTTCCATTCCAACACTCCAGTCATAGGAACCATCCCACCGTGTTTCTATGATGCCTATTATATCATACCCCTGTAGATATGCACACATCTAATTCCTTGTTTGTTCCCCATGCTACAGGCTTTTGTATAGAGGCATCTGAGCCGAGCTCCAAATGAAGACAGCTCATTGGCTGGAGCAGCTGAAATATCTCTACATTGCTCCAAGCATTTATTATAGGTGCTGGCAACTGACTGGGTGTGTTGGGATGGGATGATGCCCCCTCTCCCCCAACACATCTAGTTTAAAGCGTCTTTGACCAGTCTGGCAAGCCTCCTACCAATATGGAGATAAAGCGCAGTTGGGGTGAAACCTTCAAGCGTTCCCTATCACAATAATTTTCCAAAGTAATTCAAACCATTATTAACTTGTGTGATGTGGTTATTAGTTTGTAATACCAAGTTTCAACTTGTCACAGTTTAACATCTCTCAGAAATACTAGGCACTCCTGGAGACTCAAATTAGTGTCTTGGCACATAAAAGTAGTGTTTACTCTGAAATATCAGTGTCTTGTACATGACAGCTCCGATATTTTATTGCCTTTTTATTTCGATAAACAATATAGTGATGTTCATATACTTCATCATTGAAGAGAAGCAAGTAACCTCTAGATTGTTTTCAGAACAAAAA